CGACTGGTTGTTGAGGATATAATGGGAGAATGGAAAAGAAAATGGAAAATACCATTAAGGGTTTAGGGCTATACAGGATTATTGTTGTCTTGATGCTGTGTTAATAGTTTTCTGTACCTGGAAAAATTCTTGACGAATAAGTCTACTTGATAAACGGCGGTTGTAGGGCCTATAACAATCGGTAGAATTTCCGTCCAAAGATCCGAGCAGAGTCTTGCTAAAGATTGCGTGGAAAATGCGGGGCAAGATCTCCAGATGAAGATGTTGTGTCAACGAGATCCAGCAGCTGAGTGGCTAACCATGTCAGATTCATTTTACACAAAGTTGCACAGCAGAGGCCAATCCGTATGGGGACAGGGACAGTCAAATTCTTTGAGAGCAGATGTCAAAGAAGTCCTTGATGACATGGTGCAGGGAAGTTGCATGCCTAAGTTTCCAGAGTTTTCCTAAGCGGCCATTGTCAAGCAGGATCCAGATGAGTTGCGAGACGATGAGGACAGTGTCGATATATAGCTTCATGCAACTATTTTCCAAAGAAATCGATGATTCGGCATTGATGCGAGTTGCCAGAAATATAGCAGTACCCTTTATATGCCCTAATACACTATGGTTCTAACACACTATGGTCCTAATTTGTGGGTACCCTAAACCCTAAATCCTAAACCCTACACCTCAGCCTTGACCCTAAACCCTCAAAAGGGGACCCCCCATTCACAGAAGCTTTTGCGTCATCCTGCGAGAGCATGCTCATTGTTGATGGCTACACGCATAGTCGTGGTCCAAGGGTCCGTGTACGCTACAGGCTAAACTCCTTAAGGGGGATTATGTAGGAAATGCTACCGGGGACTTTTATAAGAGATATTAAGTGGGATACGAGGAGTTTAGTCAATGGCTCATGTACCCAATAATTTGGCACATTGGATTTTGGTATAACTAATCGCAGTACAGGCTTTGGGGGAATGTATGATTATTGGATACTTGGACCGTTAGGGGTATGGCGCTCATGCATGCGGCAGCCTGTCTCACAAAAGTTTGCTTGAAAATAGTTCGCACACTGCGGCCAGGATGATTTCATGCCGCATGGTGACAAAGAAAGAAGAAGGACTGTTTAGGGTTTGGGGATTGTTCTAGAAGTTGCGCAGAAGTGCTCCTCGCAAATGTGCTGGAGTCGTGTGGGTTGCACTATTTGCGGTACCTATTGCGTTAAAGTGTGCGATTTCTAGGACGTAGGTACCGGGCACTGTAGCCATCATAGAGGTTTACAGAACGTTTGAATCAGCCGCCGGAGAGGTGGGGGGCGCGGGCTTGCTACAACAGACGACAGAGGCCCGAGTCCGCCAGCTAGGTGGCGGGCAAGGGCTGACGACAACATACGATGAGCAGGTGCTGGTACTTATTTCCCACCTCCGTCACCCCCTTCGAGGTGGCCCTCATATTGCGCGCCATACACTATGCTTTGCAAAGCCGAATCCTGTGTAAACTGATGGCAGGACCAAGTTGAATCACTATCACCGAGCAAAGCAGGCCCTGGACACACAACTTAGAGTTCAGGGATCAAGGTTTACAACCAACAGACAGGAATCTACCATGCAGGTCCCTTAGAATGTGAGCCAGCCCACTCATCTTCAGATGAATCCTGACACAACTGTCCATGTGTGTCAGCCGCAGTTGTGAGTCAGCGCAAGGCGATGCAATGTACAAAGAATCGACCAGAAAAGCTGCAGCAGAAGCCACTGCACCGGCCAAGTCGAAGGAAGGCAAAGAGGGATGCGACAGAAGCTGGGTTGCTGTTAAGGAACTTAATTTAGATCACTACATCGGGGAAACTCCGTGATTTACTATATCTACCCATTATGGTAACTTAATTTAAGTTCCTTAACAGCACCCCAGGAAGACATCCTGCGACGTTGCGATTTCAAGAACATCGGCGGCGCGGAGACTGAATGTCATCTGTTTGTGCCGCTCGGCAGCTGTTTCTGCTAGCCTTGCTGATGTGAGCAGAGGTGCCAGGACAGGGTTTTCTTACCAGGAAAGCCTTAACCCTAAACCCCTAAGCAGCCAAGCTTAGCACGGAGTGAAGGAGTCGATCTTTAAGTTCGTCCCCATCTACAAACCCAATACTGTGGTAGTTAGTTTCCATTTTGTTTTCGAATTCCTTCATTTCCTATCCTAAGCCTCAAACCCTCAACAATAAACCCTGAACCTCGTAAACCCTAAACCCTAAACCCTATAACCCCGAGCCTTAGTTTCCATTTGCGTTTCCAATCCTTCATTCCCCGACTAGTGGTAAGTCTTTGGTAGACTCGTGTTCGCGACATCACGGGATGGCTGCGGCATCCGTGTTAAGGGAGCAACTTCAATATGGGGCTTCGGGATTCAGGGTTCAGGATTGAAGGTTCAGGGCTTAGGGTTTAGGGATAGCACCATAGAATAGGAAATACAATAAAATTGGAATGGAAACCAGGGTAGATTCTTGAGATATTCCTGGGAATGACTTTGAAGTTTCAAGTATAAGGGACCATGCTTCTTTTCTGTATTCCTTTTAGTCTATCCCAGTTAGAATAGTTTGCGTATGTCTCCGTCCCTAAACCCTAAACCCCTAAACCCTAAACCCCTAAACCCCTAAACCCTAAACCCTAGATTTCTGGATCGTCATCTGCAGTCATTGATATTTTCCCAGTAATATATCCGGTTTAGGGTTTAGGGTTTAGGGATTTAACAACCCCTATTCACGGCCGGCCAAGGTTCGAAAAGATGATCATAGTGCCGGAAGACATTTGCAGAGAGCACAGCTGTAAGGCCAGGGCGTTTCGGTTTTGGGGTTTAGGGGTGTCCATGGTCTCGATGACGGACATATAGGGATATTGAGGAATAATGGAAAAGAACATGGGCATTACTTTAGGGAATGTTTAGGGATTTTTCAGGGACATTACGCCAATAGTGGAGAATCACATGTAACAGAAATGGGAAATGACGACATGGAAACTACTATATAGGGTTATGAGATACGCCACATGGTTTAGGGTTTTGGGTTTAGGATTGAGGGTTCAGGCACTGGGGCCAAGAGATTGATGGCGACAACAAGGACTTCTGATAGTTGGCAACTATCCCTGGCGGGTGGGGGGGGGATAAGTAGTCATCCATGTCAACAAAAAGCAGTTACCGCTCGCAGCTCACAGAGTTTAAAGGTTTGAGTTACCCACAAGACCTTTTGGCACGTGAGGCATTTGTTCATTGAGCTGCCTTCGGATTTTGAAAGCTGCCCTGGTGTTTCACGTGAGAACCTAAATTTGTTCGGTGCTGTTTGATACGGCGTGCGCGGGACCATAGTTGGATCCTAAGCCTGATAGGAGGCTGTGTAGGGAACAACTTAGTCGAGGGTTGATGTCTTGCAGAACTTGCAAATATTGGTATATGCGATCCCCCACATGCCTCGCAGACCTGATCCCGCCGTCTACCCAGCCTTTCTAGATTGGACCAAAGAGGGTGCTGCATGTCTTTGCCCTCAACATGCCATAAAGCTCCAAGTACTTGTGAGAAGTTTGCCAGGCAGTGTTCCGTGAGCCGGAAGAAAGCGCAAGCGAGGCGTGGAGCTCTTCTTTGAGAGGGCATTGGGTCTAATTGGGTGATTTAACCATGCATGGTATCCTCTGCAATGTGCCAAAGGAAGGAATCTTAGTCTCGAGGAGCAGTAAAGTGAAAAGAGCACGTGCAAGTAAGAACCGAAGCTCTGGATCAGAAAACGAAAGAGAATAGGAACCTTAGATACACAAAATCAGGACCACCATGTAATGCAGATGAGGGCACGATCGCATGCTTGTTTTCCTTGCTTCCACACACTCAAAACCCCAAACTTCCAGGAGGATGTAGCTGCCTTCAGACTTGATTGGGCTGCAGCTTTTGTTGTTGACTTGCTGGCTGCTGGTAGGGAGTGAAGTAGGTTTAGGGTTTAGGGTGCAAGCTCCTTAGCCGCCACTCTAAGGAGTTATGGATCCATTACATACGAACAACCAGCAAGATAACCTTAATCCGTTGCCTTTATGCCGCCGTAGAAGCGCCTGGCTTCCATTTCATCTCCATTTCTTCTCCATGTAGTCTCTTTTCTGGTCAGGAAGCCGACGACTTGGATTCCTTGGTCAACCATGAGGACTTTAGGGCTTGAACAACTAAGATTTAGGGTTGAGGGTTTAGAACGCAGGATTAACATGTTAGGCATGTTGAGGGTTTAGGGTTTAGCATGCTATGGTTTAGCACGGTTGAGGGTTCAGGGTGCATCGGACCAAGCTGGCATACAGACAGACACGCACGTGTACACTGCACCCTGACGAGCACCCGGCCCCTCATGTCAGCAGTGTCTACTAAATTTCGCTGGTTGTTCTGTACCACGCTCATCTAGACTACATGAGCCGTAAAGTAAGCTGCTAAAAGGGGTTATACAGGGGACTACTATAGGGGCTACTTAAGGGGATGCTAGGAATTTAGACTATGCCTCACACATTCAAAGCCTAGGCCTCAAAAAATCTCAATTTAGTCAGTGTGACATCCAGGACTGGTACAAGCTTGAAGCAGACCACCCTGTGGTGTCCGAGCAGCCGCCAACGGCTGCACATCAGGATATACAGTTTGCTTTCCTGTAAAGTGTTCAGGCGTTTTAGCCTTCCCTCTCCATCAGCATCGTGCTGGTTCTTAGTAGGGAAGAAAGGAACATCATATATATATTTATATGTATATGATCCTTTTATAATATATATTCCCTTACTCCCTACTAACCCCTAGTAAGTCATGTCGAACCAAGTGGAGTGCATCGCCGTGGCATACCTTCTGCTGAAAGCCCCATGTCCTGGCCTGAAGGGGTCCTTTAAGACAACCAGGCGCAAAACCTTGCACAACAACCTACTGAAAATACATGTAAGTTGTCATATAAGTTACCATGATATGTTGTTGCTAGTATGGTACCTTGTTTAAGTTCTTGAACCGCAGCCGCAGCTTGTAACATGCAGGACTTCGACGTTCGCTGCAAGGGTGATCTGGCAGAGCTTGCAGCAGACAGCACTGTCGTGTCCGCGCTGATGCCTGCGGCCAGCGGTGAAGAGGTCCCCAATTCAGGTGTAGGGTCTGGGGTTCAGGGCTGCGGGCTTAGGGTTGGATTTCTACCAGGACGCGAGGGGATCTCTGAGAATAACTGCGTTTCAGTAAACCAGTGAGAGGTTCCCTAGTTCCGGAGCCTGCAGCCATGTTGCCACCTAAAGGATGGATTTAGGGATTTCCCAAAATTAGGGGTACAATTTTGGAGGTCTCCCTAATAAGGATGATAGTATTTGGGGTTCTATATTGGGGTGCCCCTATTTTGGGAAACTACCATTTAGGGTTCAGGAGCCTGAATAATTACCAAGAATGAAGAAACAAATAGACAAGAGGATGGACAATCACCTTGAAACTAGGCTCATTTGGGCGTCAGGGATTGAGATGCAGGGGCCTGACAAATTCCTTGTATCATCTGACGACTGCAGGAAAGACAGAAACCGTAGACATTAAACCCTAAAAGTGTCAAAAAGGGGTGGTCTAAAAACTACTTAAAAGGGCACATTCCAACCGCCGGGCGCCTGTTTCAGTTTGGGCATCGCAGCTTTGCGGTACCGGCCACGGATGTACGGCTTCCCCTTTTCTAAGCGTCGTCCGGGAGGATAAGTCAAAGGAAGAATCTTCGTGGCCTTGCATGGTTCAGGGTTTAGGGTTTACAGTAGGGGTCAGCTCCTAATTCCTGGTGCTCTGCTTACTGGCCTTTGGTTAGCTGGGAATGAAGGAATGGAAAGGAACATGGAAACTACTAAAATGGGTTATCAAGGGACTACCATAAGGATCCATTCCTTCCTTCCTGGCTAACCTAAGGTAAGCTTATAGGTGAGACCTTCCGGATTAAGTGAGCCATAGTCTAAACTCCTTAAAGGGGGTAAGTTATATAGTGTTATTAAGATTAGGGGGGATACCAGGAGTTTAGACTATATCTCAAGTGAATCGCATACAGTGGATGTTCAGTCTTTCCAAAGAAAATGCCAACCAGGAGCCGAGGTCACGTTCTAGAATCTCTAAGGGAAGCTGCCAATAGGGACAGAGGTCAATTCAGTTTGTCTGCTGCCAAGTATTCTTAAATCTAAAGCCCAAAAGCCCTGGGTCTTCCACGCTGTCTGCGGGAGGAGCCAGTGGTGGATCCCCTGGCAGCTCAGCTCCTCGGACGATTCTTGAGCCAGGCCTGAATTTGTAGGGAAGATCAACAGGGCAACCAAACTGTTGCGTGAAAGATCAGAACTAGAGCAACCAAGTTGAGCAGTATCGCCATTGTTCTACCAACCCTATACCTGAAACCCTAAACCCTAACCCAGCCCTATAACCCTGTTAATCCCTGTTAACGGTTAACGGGTCCGTAGAGCCTACTTAGCAAGTCTCCCTGACCGTCCAAGATGAGCTTCAGCTCGCATTGCCGTTAAGGAACTTAAATTCAGTTACCATAATATATGTACACAGTGAATCATAGGTTTCCGTGGTATAGACTTTTCTGGAAGTTCTCTGACAGCAACAGTAAGTCCTCAGATTTGGCATTTCTCCGTTTCCAGACCCAATTTTCAACGCGTGCAGCAGGACCCCAACGAGTCCCCAGATGGTCACAACCGCATGAAGCACCTGGGGGGCGGTGGCAGCGTGATTTGCGATGCTGCTGACAAACATGTCCATCCCTCGCAGCTCGGCCAAGGTCCATGGACATAGTAGTTCCCATTTTCCTCTCCATTATCCCCATATAGCCCCAATAAGAACACCCCAAAATACCTTTAATATTACCCCAATGGGTCCAGTATTAAACCCCTGAACCCTAAACAGGGTTTAGGGAGGTTCTCAAAACATCTCTAGGCCTTTCTTGTTGTTCTCTCCATGTGTCCCTTTGTATGACAGCATAAATCATGCACCCCAAGCCCTGTAGCCCCTCTTAAGTGGATTTAGGGTTTTGGGGTTTAGGGTTGTAGTCCCCCTTAAGTAGATAGAATATGGGGTTGTAAGGGGTATATGGGGATCTTACTATAATCTGTACTTCTTGCGCAGGTGGGCCTGCAATGTATTGTTTGTGGTCTGCGGCTGCAAGGCTCATTGCGAGCAGGGGCCAAAAACAGTCAAGAACCTCAAGTGAAAGAAATTTCATGTGGCAAACAAAGCAAGAGCCAGCCACCGAAACGAGGACTTTCACGAGTCATCCTCGCGAGTTGGACTTCGAACCCGTTCGGCCGCCACAGCTCACTATTTGCCCCTTCATGTGCGCACGCAGAATGTGGATAGAAGTGATGCTGCCCCGAGGTCTCCAACAGTCACTTTCCTGCATGGAACGGTTGGGCTTGGGCTTATAGTCCCCCTTAAGTGGATAGAATATGGCTTTGGGTATATTATAGTAAGCTCTCCATATACTCCATATCCTATCTACTTAAGGGGGGCTATAGGGCTTGGGGGGTATCCTTATAATCATCACATGATCTTCATCTGTATCCCTTAGACCCCAAAGCATATATACCGGCTTGGAAGGCAGAGCAAGTCAGCAAGTAAGGGTTTAAGTCTTAGGGTTTGGACGGGATCAAAACTAGGGTGGCTGGTACTGGGGCTTAGGGTCCAGGACTCGAGTTCAGGCTTTGGCAATTGCGATGTGATGCCAGGCATTTGATTTCTTTGTTAGTAGCGAATAGGGTTTCGGGTTAAGATTAACGGTTTAGGGCTTAGGATTTAGGATGTGTAGATCATGAAAGTCGTAGGGCATTTGTCATCAAAAGCCCAAAGCCTTCATTCGCAGCATCAATGGAATGTCCATGAACCTCTCTCCTTCACCCTCACCCCCCCAAACCTGAAATCCTAAACCCTAAACTTCAAAGCCACTTAAAGCCAATTTCTCGAAGCTTTGATAAATCGGCAGCTCCAAGGCTCAACACTGCACACAAGAATCTGAAACCCATAAGCCCTGCCGCCCCCAAAACCGTAAAAGGATAAGACCTTTGGACACCATGTTTTTGTCTGATATTTAAAGCCAATTCTGTCAAGCGCCGGCTTACTTCGTTTTCTGACTTCGGAGGTGGCGAGTTTTTTAATGAAAGTCTCTTGCATTGTTGATAATGTAAGTTTTGTGCCTGGAGAGCTTCTTATCGGTTTACGGTTTAGGATGTCGTTGCATCATGGTTCTGGCCCGAAATCACGAATGCCCCGTCCAAGGGAGCTTTGTTTAGTACCTCGCGAAGTGAGCCCGTGAGCCTGGGGATCCTGGTGCGGGTGGGGGGGGGGGGGGGGGG